CGACGAGCCGGGAAACAAAACCAAAAAATAATACAGGGGAGGCCTACGGCAGGTGAGGTGGGCGGCGCGGGCTTTGATGTTGGGATGACGTTGGGTTATTCTGTTATTGGGACAATATATACTGCGATGAGACAGTGTTGATTTCCGCTTTGAATTCTAAAGCAAGAAGATGAACACAATACAAAACTCACTCGTGGCGACGTCATTTGTGTTGGTGTTGTCCTCCACGATGAGGACGAGGTTCGGGCAGAAGCTGCGCTGCGCTGCACTCACGAGAGCCTGCGTTTCCGCGCCGGCCGGATCTCCATAGATGATAACCTACATGGAACATTTCCGTCAATTGGAAAGAACGAGCGACGGGAGCGGGGGGCGGATACTGTTGGTGAGGGTTTTGCAGTAGTAGCGTGAATGGTCACACATTTAGTCAGGCAATCAACCATCACCAACGACCACAACAACGACGACGACAACAACAATGACAACAACAACGACAACAAAAATACGCTTTATCATTACCAACACAGTAGTCGGTACTCAACTAACCTGCTTGGGGCCGAGCAAAGCCGTCGCGAGCGAGGCCGTCAGCTCGGGATACGCCTGCGGTGTCTCCGGGAGGGCGAAGGCGGTGGCGAGCTGCTCGGCAGCCTTCTCTCTCAGGACTTTCCCCTCCTCCCCCCCGAAGTATCCTGACAGCCGGAGAAGGTTGTCGGCCGCAACGGATCCTGCCCCCGGCTCCGCTCCGTCGTAGTCCGTCTGTACCGGTGGCGGGGGAGCGGCCGGAATTACAGAACGCCCACAGCCCAATTTGAAATTTTTCGTGAAGGGTTGGGGCATGAGGTGAGAGCGAGAAACGATCACCGAACATGGCGGCGGTGGGTTCGTGGGTTCGTGGCCAAACCTTGAACCAAGCCTTCTGCGGCGGAGGGGAGAAAATAGTGGGATGAGTTCAGGAGCTCCTGCCACCCACAAATCAACAAACCTCACGATCCCAACAGAAATTCACGATGCCTATCACACTTGCAGAAGCCGTCAACTCAACGAACCAGCCGGGGACTCAACTACAAACGTACATTTCTCCGAGGCCATTGTAATCATGCCAAAACTACGAACGGAAACCCCGAATATTCCTCTTATTCCTCCAAGAGCCGATTCACAGCAAGTATGCACGTACAACCTCGGTTGTTCAAAAATGAAGCGCACACGAAAACTTGTTTCTAGTCATCCGGATAATAGGGTCGATGTGCATGGAAGGAAGCCCTCCCGCACGCGCACACACATTTCACAAGCAAGCGCTGGCACACACGCATGTGACTGACGAAACTGGATTTATCGGCCGTATGGCGCTGTCCATGTCATTCAAAGTACACGCATAAACACGCGTGTAGCACACCGAAGTACACGTCCGCTGGTCAGCCGGTTAGCGCGTTCGATGCTCGCTTCTTCCAGACGAACATATACGCCAACAGAGGCAATCACACGCGTACAATGACGCACTCCTCCGCTGGTAAACAGCTAGCGCCATCGAAGTTCATTCCACAAAAGCGCAACACACTGCATGTACACACGCTCACCCGAAGGCGGTAGGGCAAGACGCCAGAGCCGCTACCCCCCTCAGTCTCCCCGTCCCCCTTCTCTTCGCCCTCGCTCTCCGGCGCCCTGGAGCTGTAGTAACCCCCTCCCGCCTCCACAGGGCACTTGAAACCCTCGTCCATCTCAGCCTGGATATTCGATGGAACGCTCGTACGTAGGTCTTCCCCCCAAAACCTTTCACACACGTACCACCTACTTTTTTCACATGTGGTTGGTGTTAAAATTCTCAACGTTTTCATGCTAAGCTTGCCACCATCGTAAGCCCTC